CTGGAGTCCATTTAAGCTCACGCCTGCTGCTTCGGTGACTCCATCCAGCCACTTCATTCACTGACATCCCCTTCTTTTTTTGCCCTCAATCTTTCCCAGCATTAATCTTTTCTCCAGTGAGTCCTTCCTTTTCATTAGGTAGCCAAAGTATTTGAGTGTCATCTTCAGGATCTGGCCTTCTAAAGAGCAGTCAGAGCTGATCTCCTCTAGGACTGACCAGTTTGATTGCCTTGCAGTCCAAGGGACTCACAGGAGTCTTCTCCAGCACCATAGTTCAAAGGCCTCAATTCTTTGGAGCTTCAGTGATCAATTTAAAACCCAAGAGAATTAGTGGAAGACTTTATTTTTTAAGAACAAAAAATACCCAGCCCAACCTCCTGGATTGGTTGGGATTATAACTTCCATCCTGGAAGAGAATTTGGGGAGCGGGGAGGGGGGGAATCCCAATAAATTTGGAAGGCAAATTTGGAGACAAGCGAAGGCTAATTGAAACCTTTTATTGAAAGACATTTCAAAAGCTACTGATAACTTCTCTTTTAAGATTGAAAGCTCAAGAGCATCTGGGTTTGGTAATATGGTTTATCGAATCCCAGAAGTATATATCATCATTTGCTATGGTTACAAATAAGTCTCTGTTCCAGAATAGTTCCAGGTCCTAAATCCATCCAGCACCTGTTTGCCCCCTTTGGCTTAAGTCTCAAGTTTAGTTCTGGCCTAGTCTTGTTATGCGCTCCCATTTTTCCATTCCCCCCCCCCCACCTCCCTGAATTGAATGTTGTAGGAAAGCCAGCTGGCAGGTCAAAGCTGTTTACACATAACTGTCATCCTGCTTAGTCATTGTTGTCGACTGCTTTAGCTTTTCACTTCTAGGAGAAAGTTGTGGCTGGCAGATTGCCAGAACCAGTCAAGTCAAGGGCTTCACTGCAGACAAACAAAGAGATGATATACAGCCTTTTGGTCATAGTTCGGGAGCCAGTTATATGTTGCTAGATCGAGAATGCCAAACAAAGACTCAGTTGCTTTTCATTTTATCAGTCAAAAACAATCCAGGGGTCTTGTGACAGTGACTTCTCTCTGAATTGTACACTAAATAAAATAATTCCTAGCACGTAGATTATAAACAGGTTGAAAGAACAGGCAGACTGGCCCCTTCGTCTCGGGATGACTCTGTAACTGTTCTAGGCCAGGATTTGTTTTAACGATGGGTTACTGAATTCGTTGTGCAGTCCCGTCCCCTCCAACCTATTGCTAGAAACCCTGGCTGACATTCTGCAACAAATCCATAAAAGCTCCGAATTTTAATTTAGGAAACGTTCAAGCTAGACGTATAAAAATGTATGTCTGTGTGGAAAAGGACGTTCTTCTTGAATTTAAATAAATCTTTCATTGCTCGTTGCACAAGAACAGCCAAGGGCAGTTGTCCTTTATTAAAGTCATTTCCTGAAGAACTGGCATGGTGTATTCTGGCACGTGATACTGAATTTTAAATATTCAGACAAATCAATTACTACTTTTGTTTTTAAGTAGAATCAGTAGGAAGAAAAAAGGAAGGAGCATAAACATTAGAGGATCGCCCACAACCTGCTTTTAAAATTTAGTGGCAGCTTTTGAAATCACAATTGCTTACTGCAACTATTTATGGGAGGAGGGACCAATTGGTACAGGTTTTGTCAAATTTTACTGTATTGTGTAGGAGAAGGAGCGGCAGGACCTGGAGGTGGAGTCAAATGTGCAATCAGCCTAGAATCTCTACGTAGTCACAAGCAGACTAAGACCAAACTGTCTTTAATGCTGTTGATCCTTATCTTTCAGTTGAGTAGATTCTTGTGCATAAGCACCTTTAGTAATCAATCAGTTTAATTGGAACTTCATGTATGGTCCTGAGCTTTTGTGCCTGATACTTGCCTAGTTTGAAACGCACCTCATGCTGTAATTAATACAACTTGAAAGAAGCACTTCCAAATTGCTTCATTGCAGCCAAGATGGAATGGCAGGGTAAATCCAAAGCTTTGTTCCATTTTCAATATGCTAATTTGTGGTAGATCTTTTTTTGGAATGATAGATGACAGGGTGATCTCAGGATGGCTGCAAGAGTGGAAGGGACCTGGCTATTAAGCTAGATTTGGCCGCCCAAAAAACATCACTAGAAAGCAAATACATGAAACGGGAAATCCATGGAATACATGGATACATGGAATACATGAAATCCATGGAAGGAGGACATATGGGGGTAAATCCAGGGTGAAATTCAGCAGGTTCTGACAGGTTCTGGAGAACCAGTAGCAGAAATTTTGAGTATTTGGAGAACCAGCAAACATCACCTCTGGTTGGCCCCAGAGTGGGGTGGGAATGAGATTTTGCAATATCCTTCCCCCAGGAGTGGAGAGGGAATGGAGATTTTGCAGTATCCTCCCCCTGCCACACCCACCAAGCCACATCCACAGAACTGGTAATAAAAAAAATTTGACTTTCA